AAATGCTAAAAACAATGGGTTATGAACCCATGGGAATTTCCGTAAAAAAATCTTTCACCACTTTATACAGGGAAGTTGTCATGGCCGAGAGGCTAGACGCTTGCCGCGGATCGGAAGGCCGTGGGTTCGCTCCCTAGTGGAGCCGGACTTTTTTTTTATGACCTTGGCTCCCAGGTCGACCCAGCCTTGAGTGGGTACCGGTTGCAATCCTGGGAAGTAATAGCGGCCGGTGTGATGCTGACCACATCACCCATTGTGCCGATTGGTCTATTAAAATATAGGTCTAGCCCTATACGCCTAAAGGCATGGAAAAGGGTCCTTTACTTTCACTTATTTACTTTATACGGGTCACTAATAACTTTGATAACAGTTGTATTTCTCCATGGGAGTTTTGGGGGAAAACCAGAATAGATTTACTGCCTCCCTAACAAACATGTTGTAGGAGTCGACTGATTGGAGGCTTTCTTTGAAGTTGGGAGTTCAATTAACCAAACAGTCTGCATACATATAAGCCAGATCTGTAAAACCGATGTGCACTCAAAACTTATTTTCTGGGAAGAGGCTCAAGTCCAGCAGTGGATGACAACCAAAACGTTCCGCTGGAGTTTATAGTGGGTGGCTGCAGAGAAGAAGAAAAAAACAATTTTATTTATGTACATTTTTTTTTTAATTCGTGAAAAATTTTTAAAGGGTAAGGTTTACAAAACAACTACTTTACACAGATCATTAATAATAGTTTTTTAAATGACGGAAATGAAATGTTAACATACAATGCTAGATGTAACAAGGAAAGGTCGACTTAGGAACGATGATATCAGGAGAAGAATTGGCACACAACCAATACTAAACTTTATAGGTAGACAACAAATCAAATGGTTTGGCCATGTAACAAGATTGGCATCAGACAGGGCACCACAGAGAACAATGTTATAAGATACAACAGTAACAGAGCCAGAGGTCAACCATGCAGAATATGGACCGCAGAAATATCAGAGACACTGAAAATTTCTTTATACCTAGCCAACAAAAGGGCCCGTTCCAGAGATCTCTTCCTATCCTAACACTGCAAGGGATTCCAAGAGTAGAGAAAAGAAGAAGAGTGAAGCATTCAGTGGAATACATTCCCTAGGTTCTTTTTTTTTTTAAATGTATCTGGTGACTCATGCCATGATCCTGTGACCTCTATCACTGAGGTTTGCGGGGACAGTTTGATGTCTTGCCATTGGGGTCATAAAGAAACCCCCTAAATGCCATTTTCAGTTAGTATATATCTATATATATATATATATATATATATATATATATATATATATATATATATATATATATCCTTGACCATTAAACACTGTGCAGGCACACGTAGAACCAATGTAATTTAACTGTGCTTTTAGAAAACAGGTCACTGCAGGCAGGCCGATATATCGGCATTTAAAGAACTTTGTCATAACCGGGATTGACTAGATCTTCTTTTCTTAGGTCGACAGGGTTGTAGGGCTTGATCTTGCAGCCCTGATTACAAGAAGCTCACCGTAGTAGAAGGAAAAAGGTGTATTAAAGGACCATTTCAAAGCCTGTAACAGGGGCTTTGGAACCTGGGTGCTCAGGCATCCCCGGCGCCTCCCTCCGGCCATAAATTTAAAGAGAATCTAAGCCGGCTATCCTCCGAATAATTGGCACATATTATGGCGGCCAAAAACAGGGCCTCAGTCACATGTAATTTGCAAACTCCAGCGACTACCGCCACCTCTGAGAGTATCCCCCACTGGGGCTAAACTAGATGGCTGGGACTCACGAGCACAGCTGTGAAAGTTGCTGCTCTCGGCTGTGGCGGTAGTTACCGGAAGTTAGCAAATTAGGTAGCCGGAAGTGCGCAATTGACATGGACTGAGGCTCTGTTAGGGTGTTTTTGCGGCCGCCATAATATGTGCCCGTTATTCGGAGGATAGCCTCTAAGCCCCTACTTTAGAACATTTGCAGAAGTGTTAAATGACCCCGCTAATCTTAGCTTTGACGTTAAATACCTCTCTGAGTTTATCTAATTCTGTTCAGAAACAACACTGCAGTTAAGATAATCTATTTTAATTGCCTATCGAGCCGGCAGAATATTTTTTTGGCGATCTTCTCCACCGGCTTGCCTATCGTGTTCTGTATTGTTATTACTCTGTATCCTCCCTTGGTCTCTGGGTAGTGAGAGCGGACGCCCGTGTGTATTGTTTCGCGCATAACAAAAAAAATCCCTTGGCAGTTGTAAATCGAAAAGAGTAGCCAAACGGTGCTGCCCAAACAGAATTTGGAGTTGAAAATCTACCCAAAGTATTTCAGAATCCTTGCCGGTGCAACGGATTTCGAGCACTGCGTTGAGATTCTTAAGACTCAGGCTTAAATCAGAAGTAGAATAGAGCACTTGTGGGTTAAACCTATGTGCCATAATGTTGATCCGTCAGCTATGCAGACATACTCTGTGTTCCTAGATCTTTGTGTGGTTTTCGCCAGGCCTCGGTAGAGGTATTAAGTAGCTGCGTGTCCACTCGTCTTAGAATTGATCCTAACACTGTAGTGTAAACAGCTGTCAGTTTCGCTGGGTGCTTTTCAGAACATTTGCTACATCTTTGGAATCGTATGTCATCTGGGCCCGGTGCGCTGTTGTCTGCCGGTCGTAGTGCAGCTTTAAACTCATCACATGTAACCAGATTGTGACAGGCACCATTAGTATTGGGACTCTGCGCTGGCTGCTGAAGATGAGGACGGCGCATGCGTGGAAATGCCCCGAGTGCTGTGATGTCAATTCTTGACATCGACACTCACTATTCTGAGTTATAAAGATTACCCTTTTCAACTCACACAAAAGGTTATAGGCTAACTAACCTTCAAATATTGCATAAAATGCTTATTTTACATGCTAGAGTCGATTATCAGAGCCACAAGGGTCAGTTTAAACAATTCTTTTATTTCTAGATTTGAAATCAGACCATTGTCAGTTTCTAGATTTGAAATCAGACCATTGTCAGTTTCTAGATTTGAAATCAGACCATTGTCAGTTTCTAGATGTGGAATCCGACTATTGTCAGTTTCTAGATTTGAAATCAGACCATTGTCAGTTTCTAGATGTGGAATCAGACCATTGTCAGTTTCTAGATTTAGAATCAGACCATTGTCCGTTTCTAGATTTGGAATCAGACCATTGTCAGTTTCTAGATTTGGAATCAGACCATTGTCAGTTTCTAGATGTGGAATCAGACCATTGTCAATTTCTAGATGTTGAATCAGACCATTGTCAGTTTCTAGATTTGGAATCAGACCATTGTCAGTTTCCAGATTTGGAATCAGACCATTGTCAGTTTCCAGATTTGGAATCAGACCATTGTCAGTTTCTAGATTTGGAATCAGACCATTGTCAGTTTCCAGATTTGGAATCAGACCATTGTCAGTTTCCAGATTTGGAATCAGACCATTGTCAGTTTCTAGATTTGGAATCAGACCATTTTCAGTTTCTAGATTTAGAATCAGACCATTGTCAGTTTCTAGAATTGGAATCAGACCGTTTTCAGTTTCTAGATTTGGAATCAGACCATTGTCAGTTTTTAGATTTGGAATCAGACCATTGTCTCGGTAAGCATACCCACTATCATGAGTATACACAGACCTACAATCTGTCTAACAAGATATGTCAATTAGACGCTGTCTCCACAGTTAAGGTTGGCTGAAGTGTATCTCCTGCACGCTGTATCTTCATCTTGAACGTATATTCACTGAGACCGCAAAATGTCCATCCGTTGATATACCCTCCCAATTGTATGTTAGTCACTTCTCGCTCGCTTATAGTCAGTCTTTTCCTCGAGTATGGGATGAACAGAATGGGTGAAAGCCGAAAGGAAGCTCATGATGGGCCATCCCTGACATGGAAAAAAGCACTGAAGATTGCACAGGACAGGAAAGCATGGAAAGTCCTCTCTGAAGCCTCATATGCCACTATGCATAAAAAGAACTGACGATATGTCTGTTTATAATAAGCAGCCACGAGAGCAGCTGGAGAAGCATCCGATTGGTTCGAGGTGCTAAAGAGAGTGAGGCAGGGGTGCATTCTCTCATCCTAACTATTCAATATATGTGAAGAAAACAAGAAGAAATGTTATAAATTATCGGACTTGGTTATGATCCGTTCATAATTGTGACTATTAAGCATCAGCAAGGAAATCAAAGCCACAGTTTTGAGAGCGTGCATCTTCTTTGTAGTAGCATACGTGAGTCGTGGACTATCTCCCACTCCTTATGGAAGAAAAAAAGGGCTTTTCAGCTGAAATGCTATAGAAAGATTATCAGAATACTATGGACAAAGAAGAAAATATATACTGACATTCTAAAAGATCTGAACTTCAAGGAAGATTGGCCAATGAACAGCATCTTGTCTCAGAAGCTAGAAAGCATGGTACCAGGAAGGAGGGAAAAGGGCCACTAACGCAGAGATGAGCACAGGATATAAGTGGCTCCTTAAATATGAAAACAAGTTAACAAGACGGGAGAACTGGCGTAGGATCAAATTTCTTTAAATAGACAGTGATGAGAGCGACGTTCTGCAAAGCACTTAATACACAACGCCGATGTCTGTTTATATTGCCAAATCATTTCATCTATCTCGTTTAAAAAAAAAATACTTAAGCAACTGTCGTGCCGTCGTTGTCTCTTTAGAATCTTTTATTTGATTTTATTTTTTAACCGAAATAGCGCCTTCTATACATCCACATCTCCGGTTATCAAAAAACTGGATATTTTACCAGATTGTCACATGGCTCTGATTAACTTTAAAAACTATTTATGTCCGTAGAAGTGTATTCTCTGATTATTTCAGCATAATAATTCACCAGGCTATCTAGTTTTTATTTTAAGCTAGATCAAAAAAAGAATACATTAACTTTACAGTTTGTTTTTGTTTAATTTTCGAAATGTGGGCCCTCAGTCAAAATGGCTTTCCCAGGCACTGAAGTGGCCGTCAGTTTACAAACATGGAAGCTTCAGCAGGAGCGGGCGGCAATGCCGGTCGGGGGCGATATAGGAGAAAACGATATGGACATGATGCCAAGGGCTCTGATAGGGAAAACGGTAGATATCTGGTCATCTAATTATGTTATCCTGGGATTTTGAAAAAAGTCGATTGTAGCGTGTAACTTGGAATTCTAGTTAGACTGTGTGGTCTTCTCTTCTTATCCTATCCAGGCATTTGTTAATGTTTAAAAAAATCGACTCTTTTTAGGTACTTTAGTCAAATTTTTAAAATGCCCTCAACACCAATAAAACCAGCACAGTTAGATAGCTGTAAACAATCTCTTTCCAATGGTACCTCATTTAGCCTTGTATGTCATTTCTGAGCTGAGATATGTAGGTTTTTGTGCAGATGAGATCAAAAACAGCTGCTAAAACTTGTGTCTGAGAAACAAGAAGTTTTCTCTGCGCAACCAAACTGCGCAACTTTCGTTTTGGCTTTGTTTTCATTGGACAAGATGGCAGACAATTTTTCTCAGACACAGCCACATAATAATAGCGATTGCATGAACAATGTCACTGTAAAACAAAACAGCCACAGATAAGAAAGAAATTTTATACACAAATGTAAAATTGGACGGAGAATTCAATTATAACTAGCATTACCATGTCTGGTAATGTTTAAGGCCTTAAAGCCAACCGTGAATACTTAGCGCTATTTTCAATCAAACCGATGTAACAGAAAAACAGAGGACGTCCAGCTGTCATAGACATGCGCTGTTAATCGGGTTCGTTCCCGCCGTTTTCGGCTATTCGCTGGTGAAAATCAGACCAATCGCAAAATTTCATGAGAGATTAGGACCCATCCCGAAACCCCAGCCGACATTTCTCAAACAAGTTTCAAACGGTTTCCATGGTAACGGAAATTGCCAAAAAGACCGCAAATTGTCGAAACTGTAGTCGCTGCTCTTTTTTTCTCTAGTAGTAGTACTAATAGTTGATGGTGCCTTCAGTTCAGATCATTATTTTAATTTATATAATAGGCTCTCCTCCGTCATAATATTATGGCGGCCATAAAATATCCGAACGGGGCTCAATTCTATTAAAAATATGCCGGCTCCGTATAACGAAACAAATGCTTTAACAGGCTCTCAGCGATATGTTAGTTGCGGACCTGCTTCTGTGACTGTGCCTCACCGCCGACTGTATCGCCCGCACCGCGTAGCGGCACGGATGGGGGCTAAACTAGATGTCTGGGACTCACGAGCAACTTCTTCCAACTAATTTGCTTGTGAGTCCCAGGCACCTAGTTTAGCTCCCCATCCTCGTCGCGTGTAGCGGCGCGGGGGATACACTCGGCGGTAAGTTTAATAGCGTTTTGCACATGCCGAAAAGTGTGAGGATACAGATCGGCAGGTCTGACATCTACCGCTGCTAAATCCTCAATCGGACAAACAGTATTGCTAATCTGCGTGGGAGCGCGTGGTCTACCCGCCCAGTCGCTTTCATCGTCTGTAATTTCTCGAAATTGTCAACGGTCGCTTTTATCGTCTGCAGAAACGCTCAAAATTGTCAGCGGTCGCTTTTATCGTCTGCAGAAACGCTCAAAATTGTCAACGGTCGGTATTTATCGTCTGCTACTGCCGTGTGCAATGTTGATATTGTCAAGTAATCCTAGTCTTGCTGCGATTTGTTCCTTGGCAGAAAGAACGAATTTTAGATATGCCTGAGCCCCGTTCGGATATTTTTGGATATTTTAATGCTGCCATAATATTATGACGCCGTTCGGAGGAGAGCCATATAATATATAAATAAAAAAGTTAGTTTCACATCCTTTACAGAATTCACAGGCAAGCCCCATATGTGTTGTTTTTGATGTGGTTGTGCTAGCAAATTTAGATTCTGTAGCTTGCCATTGTTTTTTAATTGAATGGTTGACTCATACTAAGTCATCATACCGTCAAAATAGCACAATTCGTCTGCTGCCAACCCGCCTGCAGCTAAATCGAAACCCAGTATGTCAGAATTATGAAACTGCTCTAGTACCCCCTAAACCACCTTGACCAACATTTAATTTATAGTTGAAGTGCTTTATTGAATGTGGAATCATCATCACAGCACTCGGGACACTCCCATAAGCGCTCCGTCCCCATCTAGAGCAGCAAGTGACGAGTTCCAGTTCTAAGAGTGCTTTATTGAGAGGTAGGCAAAATGCCGCCCAGTGTTCTTCGTTGATCTGAACATCTATGTTAAATGAGAACGTCTAAAAAGATTAAAGAAGTAACAGGATTGATACATGACAGTTATGACCACAACATTGACCAAAAAAAAATTTGTCAGAAAAGTAATAGAGTGACCACTTGACATTAGCAGTCAACAAAGAAAAAAGTCACTCTATTTATCTATCTTCTTTTACCCCACCAGGAAATCACACAAGCGATAAACACATGATGACACAAAGTACCTCCATGTGGATGAGGATCACCCGTGGAGAGGTCCCAAAAACCGCGTTCAGCAGTTAGACTCCATATTTATGGCCGGGCTATATTGCGGCCCCTGGCAAGAGCCAGAGTAGGGCTTCAAATAAAGAAAAATTGCATCCCAAAAAGTCACTCTATACCAGGGCTATTCAACTAAGTTTACTCGTAGGCCGAAACAGGCATGTAACAAAAACACATGAATAATTGTGGGCATATTCTTCGAAATCGGAGTGCATCTGGGTGAGAGGTGAGGAACTGAAAGTCTGCATACAAATTAATTAGCGAGATCTCTAAAATGGAGGTGTACGCAAAACTCAAGTTGTTAGTGGTTGAAAACCAGAACATTTCACCTAAGTTAAAAGCCGCTGAACGCTAAGAGAAAGTCCCGGTTTTTGCCCTCTCACAGTGTACCCAGAAAATATATATATCATTTCCATATGTATATATATGTATGTGTGCGTGCATATGTATCAGCAGTTTTTTTTTCAAACAAAACTTTGCTCTCTTAATGGCACGTCTGAAAGTCTCTGCCTGAAGCCAATTCTGAAGCCCTGTGTGCTTTCATAACTAGTGCGTGTTCCATGTCTTGTAAGCACCTTCCTCAAGGGTCAGCCTATGATTCTTTTTCATTCTACACACACATGTATTGTACACACACACACACACATGTACACACACACATGTACACATATTGTGGGTCTTTCTTGAATCTTTTTTATCACTGTTCCACAGAAAAGCATTTGAAGACAAGTATGGTAAATGTGGATGTCAACTCTGCGGTGATCGAGGCATTCCAGGGCTTCCAAGTGGAGCTGGACACCAGAAATGATACCTACGAGAGGATAGTCAAGTTGAGCAGAGACATCACCATTGAGAGCAAGAGACTTATATTTCTCTTACACAGAGTCACAGGGTAATACACATGTTTACTGGCTTCACTGTTCTCTCACATGTATTACAGGGTGATACACATGTTTTACTGGCTTCACTGTTCTCTCACATGTATTACAGGGTAATACACATTGTTTTACTGACTTTGCTGTTCTCTCACATGTATTACAGGGTAATACACACGTTTTACTGACTTTGCTGTTCTCTCACATGTATTACAGGGTAATACACATTGTTTTACTGATATTGCTGTTCTCTCACATGTATTACAGGGTAATACACATTGTTTTACTGACTTTGCTGTTCTCTCACATGTATTACAGGGTAATACACATTGTTTTACTGACTTTGCTGTTCTCTCACATGTACTACAGGGTGATACACATGTTTTACTGATATTGCTGTTCTCTCACATGTATTACAGGGTGATACACATGTTTTACCGACATCGCTGTTCTCTCACATGTATTACAGGGTGATACACATGTTTTACTGATATTGCTGTTCTCTCACATGTATTACAGGGTAATACACATGTTTTACCGACATCGCTGTTCTCTCACATGTATTACAGGGTAATACACATGTTTTACTGACATTGCTGTTCTCTCACATGTATACAGGGTAATGCTCGTGTTTTACTGGCATTGCTCCTCATGAGACCCTTATAGGGTAAAGTTTTGTACAGGACAAGCAGCTGGTTGATAATGATGAAGCAGATTCTTGTACAGTGCAACCAGGGTAATACATCTAGCTTTTAAATGCTTATACACCCATCGCTAAACAATGGGTATGGATTAGTGCCTCATATAGTTGGAACTAGGCAGTAGAGACTTCAGTTAAATTGTTTAAAGATTCAGAGACTGGATGATCGACTTCATTGCAGTGGGCTTGAACCCATATGGCTTAGTATCTGTAGAATGGCTAGCCACCTACAAAAAGCAGGGCACAAACCTTGAACTCTCTAGCTCTGGCGGACAATTCCTTCGGGTCACTACATAAAATTGCACTGGTGTTGTGAGTGTCAGTAAAATAAGTGCATGACCATGAGAACTTGAGGTTAGCACTTCAAACACTGAGACCCTCTCATTTTAAATGTCATGTTCCCTGTGTGGGTTCGGAAACCCAGTTGGGGGGGGGGGGGGGGGGGGGCTAAGATCCACTGCCTCCCTAACAAGCATATCATACAAATTTGCTAGTTAGGGATGTTTCCTTCGAAGTTAGAGTGCATCTGCTTGAGAAGCGAGGAACCAACAGCCTGTATACAAATTAGCCAGATCTTTGAAATAGATGTGCTCGCAAAGCTAACATTCTGTAACAAAACCAAAGTTTACAAGTGGGTGAACATTCTGCCAGGGTTTACCACCGGTGAATGTTAAGAAGAAGAACTGTGATGTGGCTAAATAAGACGGGTCCTTAAACAGTAATGGGAGGGTTACACATCTGTTGCAATCTCTCTCCTCTTCTGCCTCCTATCCCCCCAATGAAGCATAGGTCCTCAACCAACTGACAAGTCATCTGCTGTAATCAGCTTTGTTTGAAGCATCATCATGTGTCACATGGCTTTAATTCTTCGATGGCTATGATTTCTCTCTGATCTTTCTGTTCCATAATTATGAACTGCCATTTTGTGTGCATTTCCAACACAGGCTAGTGTGTGTTTTTCGTGGGAGTAGCGTGTATAATGGTTGTGTGTGTCGAAGCGAGATAACGACCGATAGATTTGGGAGCTTCAGCCAGGTTGCCTTCACAATGTTTTCATCATGGGGTGAGGGGGGGGGGGGCACTATCCAGGAAGACAGCATTTGATCAGCGGGGCAACCATAAACTATCATCCAAATTCGATAAAAGCTATCATCAGAAATAGAACATGTCAACCATTTGTGTGTGTGTGTGGGGAGGCATCAACACATATGGTCAACTCAGTGGTTATGGCCATGAGCCTCACAACAATAAGCATAGGGTGTCATGTTTTGCTATCTCACATGATCACCAGTATCACAGATCAGGTCAGTGTTCTTATCTTGCCCTTTTTACATGGTTTTTATTTCTTTTCTTCTGAAGGTCAGATGACAGGGACTCCATTCTCACAGATGCAGCTGCTAGAATGCTAGAACTCCGCACTTCCAAGTTCCTTCCCCTTGCCAAGGAGTTGAAAGGACAAGATCCATATCAGTTCTTGCGGGCTTTTTCTCCAGGTTTGGCTTCCTTTATTTTGTCTTGAATATGCTGTGGGTGTTAGATAGTTTTTTTGTTTTTTTAAATTAGTAGTTTTTTTTTTTTTAAATTTTATTTCTAGTTAGGTGTACTGTGAATCGTGGAATATCTTTCAGTTCTTAAGAAAGAGAATAGGGGCCTTTGAGCTGAGATGCTATAGAAAGATTCTCAGAATAGTTTGGACAAAGAAGAGGAGAAATACTGACATTTTGAAAGATTTGAACATCAAGGAAGATTAGCTAATAAACAGCATCCTGTCTCGGAAGCTGAAATATTTTGGTCATATCAAGCGCCACGACGGATTGGAAAAAATTATAGCAGAAGGCATGGTGCCAGGAAGGAGGGGCAGAAGCCGACCGACACGAAGATGGGCACAGTGACTCCTTGAGTATGGAAGTACATGAGGCGGAAGAGCTGGCGAGAGTTTTCTTTCAGGCAGACCGTGATAAGAGCGATGTTCTGCTAAGGACCTGCTACATGATGATGATGATATACTGCTATGTTGTTTTGAAGTTCCAGGTGTATATCTTGACTTGTCATTCTTAAATACTAAACTGTTTGACTGCCCTCATACATCTGGGTTCTTGGGCCCCATTGTTTGGGAGGGGGGGGGGGGGATAGATAGACCTATTGCCTCCCTAAAAAACATGTTGTAAGAGTGTACCAGTTAGGGGTTACTTTTGAAATTGGAAGCATCTTCCTGAGAGGCAAAGAACCAACAGTCTGCATACAAATAAACCAGATCTGTAAAACGGATTTGCCCTCAAAACTCAGATGCTGAAACGATACCAAAGTCCAGGGGTGGATGAACAACCAAAAGTTTCTGCTGGAGTTTACAGCCGGTGAATGCAAATAAGACAACAATACTGTCGGAGGACAGGAGCAACATGATGATCCTCACCTGTTGGCGTGGCAGTTTGTACATTATAAAATGTTCAGTTTATGAATGCTTTTTATAGTGGTTTTCTTCGTATGGGGCAGTTTAAACATTATAAATCACCATCATATACCTTGTAAATTGACGTAAGCATTCATGTCTCACAAAGGAAACAGATTCAGCGTATTTCATTGCTGTCTTTCTGTTATTTATTGCATAATATACCCTTTTTCACCTTAGGTGCAATATTTCCTAGGCCCTCTCCTGCTTGTAATCTCTTTCAGTCATCTTCCATCTAATGTTTACCCCCCCCCCCCCCCCACCCCTTTTTTTCATTTTTGAATTTATTGATTTAATTACCCTTCTCCCTGCCTTGTAATATCACATTTTAATGTTATCCTGACCATAAAATAAATGCAGTATTCAGTTAATTTTTTTGTTGTCTCAGGTCTACAAGAATACATTGAATCGGTCACATTCTACCATTACCTGGCTGACAATCAGCTTGCCAGTTTGGATAGTATTCAGACAGGCTTAACTTTCACTCTACAAGATAGTAATGGTAATCAGAATGACCTGCCAAAAAACTTGCAGGTAAAGAATTCAGCACCAAGAAAACTGCCAGATGAATGTATAGGAAACAGTGATGTACCTCCTTCACTGAAAACTCTCAGTGATGAAAATAAACAAGACATCCAGAATAGAGATGTAGCTTCTGAGGAGTGTTTGCAAGGACAAAACTGCACAACAGACAAAGCAGTTGCTGCTGAAACTTTCGACTGTGAGAGCCTGCAGACGGTCTCAGTGCCGGTCCCTCCAACAGAGTACATGCTGGGTGTGGCTGATTTCACTGGAGAGCTGATGAAAATGGCCATCAATAGTGTGGGATCAGGCGACCTCAGAACACCAAGAATTGTAAGCAACTGTTACGTTCTAAAAATTCAGTTTGTGTGTGTATTTCTTCTTCTTCTTCTTCGTGTTCACCCACCAGAAACTCTTGTGTAAAGTTCTGTATTTTTGTTCATTTCTCGATGTTGGTCTTGTTCCAGAATTTTCCAGTTTTTTGGGCATATCCATTTTACAGATCTGGCTAATTTGTATTTGATAAATGCTAACACAAAATGTGACCAGGAAGCTCAAAGGAGGGAATGGAAAAGACACACAAACACAACCAAAAGTTTCGACCAAAGTCTTTATCAACGGAGTACTAAATACAGCACACACTGTGATTGGAAACTCAACAGAAAAGACAACAGAGCTAATTTAAAAAAAAAAATGTTTTTTTGTGTGCGTCTTTTCCAATCGCTCCGTTAATCTTTCTGGTCTCATTTTGTGTTATATTTAGCATTTCTTTCAATCAGCTTGACTGCAGTCACCCCTCTGTTTACATCATCACTGTATTTGTTCTCACACTGTTGGTTCCTCATGTTCTCAGGCAGATGTACTCCAACTTTGAATTAAACATCCCTCATGAGTTGCCAACTGTGCTGTGGTTGTTGAGGGTGCATTGGATCTTTTCTGTTTCCCAACATAAGAGAGCCCCCAGAATTCATGCATAGATACTTGCATTTATGGGCTGAGTTGATTGAAGACCTGGCATCACAGCACTCGGATATTCCCAAAAGCGCTTTGTCCACATCTTCAGCAGCAACCGCAGAGTTCCAGTTTTGATGGTACCTGTAGCAATCTGTATTTGTCTTGCCTTTCCTCCGAGTGTTTGCCAGATCTCCTGGTCACTGCCTGTTGCCCATTCTCTTCGAACTGAATACCCTAGAGAAAGTTTTTTATAGTTAAATTATTTTCAGTTGTGATTTTTGTTTCATAGTTTTGTTTTTTTCAGCTTTTGTGACGGCTGTTTTGTTTATTTAGTAGCACATATTTGTTAAGTTCACCTGTATCGCAGTTGTTTAGTTGTATTTGATCTTATTGTTAAAAGTGATTGAGTTCCCCGTGTAGGTTCTGGGGCCCAGCCACCCCCCCCCCCCCCCCCCCCACCCACACACGAGCATGTTGTAAAAATAGACTAATTTGGGATTGTTCCTTTGAAGTTGGAGTGCATCTATCTGAAAGGTGAGTAACCAACAGTCTGCATACAATTAAAACAGATCTGCACGCAAAACTCAGGTTCTAGAATGATGCGAAAGTCCAGAAGTGGGTGAACATCTGACATCAAAGGAAACACCCCTAATTAATTACATTTTACAACATGCTGTGGGTTGATTACCAAAGAGGCATTGAAATGGGAAATAAAGGAATTAAGGAGGTGAGGACGACCTAAAGAAACCCTAAGACGAACGTTGATGAGAGAGGCCAAAGCTGCTGGACTGGGTTCCTTCCATGATATTGAACTGATTGCACAGGATAGAATGGAATGGAGGAATAGACTGGGAGCCCTGTATGATATTTAATAGCACAAGAGGACAGTGAATGAATACATGGGTCTTTTTCCCTCCCCCGCCCCGAAAAAAAAAACAGGGCCCCAAAACCCACACAGGGATGATTATTTATTATATTGTTTGTTCTCATTGTTTATATTAAATAAGTTTTTTGATTTCCTATTCACTTGATGACTTTAGGTTGCAGAGATGATGCGTACAATTCATGATGCCTTTGCATCGATTGGAAACATTCCTAGAGAGCTGCGTCACAAGCTCAGAGTGCTGCGTCAGAGTTTGCAGAAGGTGGAGACGGCTTGTTATACAATGAAAGTCAGAGGATCTGAAATACCTTCCCACATGCTAGCTGATGTCTTTAGCACCGCAGGCACTGGCGACATGTTCTGTATGGATGACAATGAAGAATTTTATGACTGAAATTTTATGTCTTTTCTTTTTGAACTTTCCATTTTCTTGTTTGTGTCAATAAAAAAAGAAGCAGTCAGTCATCTTTCTTTAGTACATAAAATCAATTTTGTCTTTGTTTTGTTGTTTTAAGGTTTCCTGACAGCTTCTAAAGTGACGAGTAAGAAGCTCAATATATGAAAGTAAGGTTAAACCTGACAAGAATGTCCTGCTACCAACTGCCACAGAGAGCCACGCTGAAGAAATATAATGAACACAGAGCAAGGAAAAAGATCACACAAGAGATGTAGCGACACCATCAGGAGAAACTTAACAGAAATGAACACCAACTTGTACAATGCATTGGGAAAAGTGCACAAACGGTGCTCACCACTGAGGTAAATAGTGGAAGAGAAGAAAAAGAAGGTTAAACAGTCAAAAGCAGGATGTGACGATTTTTTGGATGACCCTAGTTAAAGTGTCGTGCAGAGGCTGTGCGTTTATGAAAGCCTCCATGGATGGTGGGGGATGCTTGCATTCTGCTCATCTTTTTCTTGAGGGCTGACCAGCATGATGAGGGCACAACCTGGGACTAGAAAGTGAAGGTGACGACGCAACAGTGAGACACTGCAATGTCCCACAAAACGAACCTGGACAACAAATGCTTGAAGACGTTGGATGTGTCAGTCGGAAGGCATAAATGTCGCAATCCTGCAGTAAACTGTTGCTGCGCTATTATGTCCTCAGATGAAAGCAGAAGTTTAACTAATGACTGTCCCCAGATATGAGGTTCCACTACTAGGACTGCATACCCAACTTGGAGATGGGATAAGAGAGTAAAAAGATAGTAAAAGACCTCATTCAGTGTCATAAGGTGCTGGCCTCAATATAGTTACCAGCATTTCATCGGGTGCCACCTTTACTTTCCAGGAAATTTTCTGGTATCTATAGTGACGACTGACATCCCTGTTTGGCTTCTGGGGCCCCATTGTGCAGAAATCAAGAATAGATAGACCCACTGTCTATCCAAAAGCATAAGTGTCGACTAATTGGGAGCTACCTTCGAAGTCAGAGTGCACCTGCCTGAGAGGCAAGGAACCAACTGTCTGTATACACGAGTCAGATCTGTCAAATGGATGTGCACGCAACATTCAGATTCTGTAACAGGAGTTAACAATTGCGAAGAAGAAGAAGACGGACATTCTTTATTGATTTGACTAATTCACTACTTTCTCATCACAAAGGTGGAGAGTATTATTAACTTGACCTTGGCTGCCAGGTTGATGTAATCTATAAATGGTGCCAAGAAACTGGGACGTAAAGGTGGCCAACATAAAGTTGACCACAACACATGTCAAGTTCAAATGATCTATACAAATATGGGACTAGCACTGTAAACCCTGTATATCTTAACTAGTAGATCTTAATTCAGTTGCAAAGACTGTGCTTCAAGGAATACTGGGAGTTAGTCGAAAAATAGGAGGGCAAAGAAGAATCTGGAATGACAACAACAAGAAATGGACAGGACTAAGTTATCATACACTTATTCATCGAGCGGAAGACAGAGAAAGATGGCAGGTTTTATGTGCTAGTGCTTCCATCAATACATTTCATCGACCCTAATGGGTCAAGGGTTATGTTATCCTCTTTAGTGGGGAAAAGTCATGAACTTATCCACAACTGTTGGTGTCAAGCCTGGACTGTTACTTCTGCTACTACTACTCTAGTCCTTTTCAGCGTCAGGTTTTAAAGGAACAACTGGTGCAGGCTTTGATATGTGCTACTTAGATGCTGGTATTTACAACCTCAGATATGTCATCTGTTCATCACTTGCCTGGTCAGCCTCTGACTCTGCGTCCATTATGTCTAAGTGAGAAGGCTGCCCCTGACGAACTATCTGGTGGTAATCTTGATACATGTCCAAACCATTTAATCTGTTGTCTCTAAACAGTTTAGTACCGGTTTGATCCCAACTTTTCTTTCATTACATGTCTGATCCTGTCTCCTCTAGTTACATCTAGGATTCATTGTAGACGTCTCACTTCGGTTATTTCAGTTTCTTACCACAAAGCAGTGGTAAACTACTGAACATAAAATTTGCATAGAAAAACCACAACAGCCAAAAAAATGGATGTTGGTTCTGCAACGTCTTGTAAATGATGTGCAACTAACTGTTTTTTTTTTTTTTTTTTTTTTTTTAAACAACAAATAAACAAAAATCTTAACAAGACATGAGATGTCTTAGAAGAGCTACTGAAGTAACAAGAGAGATTAAAATGAGACGAAGAATAGAACTGATGGCAGCATACTTGACAATCTGCTAAAAATGCCTTGTACTAACTGTCACTGAGGGTTAAGATAAAAAAATATAATGAAAAAAGAGCAAGAGGACAGCTATGATAAATAAGAAACAACACTAAGAGTCCTTTTGAATTAGGAGTCGACATCACACAGGACACTTCCATCAGCGTGCTGTCCCTGTCTTCAGCAGCAAGCACAAACCCCCCAACTTTTCCCCTAAATGCTATTATAGTTGATGTATTTATATACTGACCTCCTTAACCTTTGCGCTGACGTGAAAACAGCTAATAATATTAACTATGCATCTCGTAAACAGGTCATCATAGAAAAGTCAGAAAAGTGACATTTATGGGGAATTTGACCCAACCAGGCTTGTTGGTTTTGTGGTTTCTTGAGGTTAAAGGGATAAACTCTGATGTCTTATAGGATACCCTGAGCACACAATAGAAAATGTGTAAGTCATCATCAAGCACTATCTCTGTACTGAAGGCCCATCGTAATTCTAACACTCTCTGTTTGAGGTTTTGAACAACAGATCAACATCATGGCACGTGTAGTAAACCATAAGTGCTCTTTTTCCAGCTTAAGTCTTGAGTCCAAAGAAGCTCAGCACAGTGCACAGGCTCTGTAGCACCGGCTACTTTGGGTAGTTTTTTTAACTCCAAAATTAGCCCAGGCAGCACCATTAGGCTACTCTTTTCGATTTCCAACAGCCAAAGGATTTTTTACGTGCACAACTTTGCACACGGGCATCAGATCTCACTTCCCAGAGACCAGGGGAAATTACTAGAAGTCCAAGTCCATGTGAAAAAATCCCAGCTCTTACCGGTGACTGAACCTGGATTCTCGAGGGAGACACCATGCCTTGAGACCACGCAGCTTCCTACACTCTGTAACGAATCAAGCTGCATTCATACATGCTATGAAAAAAGTGATCTTATGGCTAGGGACTAATCAATACAAAGATATATATAAGTGTGAGTGTATGTATGTGTCTGTATGAGCATGAGCGCATGAATGTTTTTGTTTGAGGGTGTGTGTCTGTGTATTATGTATGAGTGGGCATGTGTCAGTGTATGAACGGGTGTGTAAGAGTATGAGTACGTGTATATATGATGTATGTATGCATTTTTTCATTATCTATATTTTTTTAGTAAAAAAGGCAGGACAGCTGGTGAGAGACCGAGTTTCAGGCAGACCATGAGGACGGCAACATTCTGCAAAGGAGCTGCTAAATGATGATAATATTTTTATCAAAACATAACATACAATTGTGGTCTGAGAGACGAGTGCTTGGAAATGCTGAATGTAAGTCGAGCCTGTATGCACAATTTGTAACCCTTTTTTAAAAACAAAGTTCATTTGTTTGTTCAATAACTGCTATATTTTGGGTCAAATAAAAAAATTTTGAAATGACAAAACATCTATCAACAACTATGTATAGAGTTCAAGCTTCACTCACAACTCTAATACAAATTAAGCAATGGTACATAGATCTTGAAAATTCCCAATGACAAGTTTTAAAACATGTTTCCTCATCTCACAATTACAAGAAGTCATTTAAAACAGTAAATGTAATAATTTTATATAGAGAGCACACAACCAACAAGTAAAAACAAATGGCACATTATATCAGTGAGGAATACAGAAGAAGTATATGTAAAGTAAAAAAACTGTCCCCTATGCAATTTTGGGCTATCCTTCTGTATATAGGGTACAGATTATGGCGGTCGCAAAAACACCCTAACAGGGCCTCAGTCGCGTGTTAATTGCGCACTTTAGGCGACCTAATTTACGGTTTTCCGGCGACCACCGCTGAGAATATCCCCAATGGGGCGTGGATTGGAGCTAAACTAGATGGCTGGGACTCACGAGCAGCAGCTTCTGCATCTTCTGCAGCTTTGCTCATGAGTCCAAGCCATCTAGTTTAGCCCCAATCCACACGGCGTGGGGGATACTCTCGGCGGTGGCGACAGTCGCCGGAAAACCGCAAATTAGGTCGCCGGAAGTGCGCAATTGATATGTGACTGGGGCCCCCTTTTTGGCCGGCGTAATATGGGCCCGTTATTCAGAGGATAGCCCAATTTTGTATCTGTAATTGTTATTTGGGGACCTGATAAATGTTGGTGGGAGTCCATGGAATGAAAACTGCTAGAGGAATAGTTCAACTTGCCTCAGTTTCTTGCCACCCCAAAGACAGCATAACTGTCATACATTATTCTAAAACAAATCATTGCTATGTTAGCTTAATGTATGCAAACTGTTTATCTAACATACTCCCATTGTTCCGCACCGAAATGACACCTTTGAGAGAGATGGTTATCATTATGCCATCTCCCTATGTGGGTTCCGCCAGCACCCATTAGGGGCAATAGCTCACTGCCTCCTCCACCCCCCCCCCCCACCCAAAAAGCATGTCGTAAAATTATGTTTGCTTCAAAGTCAGAGTGCATCTGCCTGAGAGGCGAGGAACCAATAGCCTGCTTACAAATGAGCTAGAACTGTAAAACGGATGTGCACACAAAATCTCAAGTCCTGGAACAAGATTAAAGTCCAAAAGTAGACAAACAACCAGAAAAATCTACCAATTTACTGCAGATAATTGCTAAAAAAGAAGAAGGTGATGCTTTCTAGTTTCCCCAGTCACATTATTGGCAACACTACAGGCGAAGGAATATACAGACGTTTTTCTGCTTCCCCATTTTGTTGAGCTTTTTAGTCAAATTTCTCTG